AGGGCTACTCTGCGTTGAATAGGGTACGGGGGGTGGGGGGGTATTAGTTTAATTTTATGTAACATTTGTGTACATTATTGCATTTCTTACTACAAGTGCTTCAAAGAATGTCTTATAAAGTTTCTGAAAAAGTCTTCTGTGAAAATCAGCTTGAAATTTCGCATTTTGAGAAACGCTCAAATGCCATTTTTTCAAAACCAGTTCCAATTTTCTGTTTCAAACTTGTTCTGATTGTGCTAAATGCACTTATAAGATGACATAAAAAACATTTTCTCAAAAACTCTAAAGTATTCTGTGAAAAAGAGCTTCAAATTTCACATTCACAGTAATGCTTAAACAATGCAGTAACAAAATTTTCTCAAACGGCTGTGAAATTTTTAATTGTATTTTCTAATATTGGGAACAGACTGCATCACTGTCTGACACATTGTTTCATAATCTTATTCTCTTGTATCTTAATGCAGATTTCCATGTCAATACATGTACAAAAGTATGTGTGGAGGTTATAAAATGTCAAAGTATTTTTCTGCTTACTTTGTATAAAGTTTTCAGTAATTTATACAGAGTATTTGGATATTTTTATTAAATTCTTGGTTTCTAAGTGATACACTGAACAATAAAAATGGTATGAGAGCAATTACTACTGTTGCCAAATTCAGTTTGGTCTTGTCTTCAGATTGATTGTACAGGAAATAATCTGCCTTACACAAAGTTGGCCCTATTTTCAATGATTCTTGGTTGAGTTAATAGTTCATATAATTGGGTTGAAGTGCTAGTGAACATACTATAATAGTAGCTTGTGATTCAATGCCACAATGTTTTATACAAGATAACTTTTAAATGAATGTTATTTATAAGAAACTAATTGAATTCATTATTAGGAACGAATGACAAATCAATGTGAAATTAATATGTATTAATAGTCCACAATTTCTTGCAGAACAAAAAAATTATTATTATTATTATTATTATTATTATTATTATTATTATTATTATTATTAAAAACCACGTTGTATGTACGCTTTTGGAATTAGCCAACATTATGGAACAGCTGTGCTCTTAATGTTTCTTTTCCTTATACCCTCCAAGGATTGAAATTGAATTGAAGTTTGCCTTATTTTATGTGGCGAGAACTCGGGGAATATCAGGCCCGCTCTTTCCGCTGACCACGCAAAAATTTCGTAACGCTCCTTCATCAACTAGTAGTAATGGAGGCATTTTCTTCGGGAGCGAAGAAACAGGCGATTTTGAATTAGCTCAGAGGCGTCATTAGGCTTGAGGGATCTTTTACATGCAAGTAAATTACTAACATGGGACAGCCGGCTTTACTATCCCCTCCGAAGGAAGGCGAACGAAGGATTTTGCCACCCTAAAATCCACAGCTTTGATCGGTTGAACCCCGGAAGCTTGGATAACAGTCAGTACGGCTAACCGCACACCATTTGCCACCGCGGATGGTGTGACATTACACAGTCACAGAAAATTAAGGTTATGATAATACTTAATTCCTGTCGCATGCCGGGCAATATTTGCATGCATGTGCGATGCTGTATTTTTCACAAAAGGGATCTGGTTCATCAGTTTATTGTGCGATTGTGTCCAAAAAAAGTGTTGTAATATTTTTTCCGCAGTTAAAAAAATGTGATACTTTTTCTGATGAACCCTAATTGTTGATAAGTAGATGTAATGCTTATGTAATTATGAATTCATGGCTTATGTAATTATGTATTCAATTTATCTTAATGGTATATCTCTCACAGATAGTTCTAGAAGTAATGTAAACAAACTAATTAATTTTATTATTATGATGGGAATCTGTGGAGGCATAAAAAGGTCAGTGTGATGTATAAGCCACGCTCATCCTTCTACGTTGGTTTTCATGCCTCTTCACAGTTTTCATATTTTTTCTCTTCATTTTATTGCACAGACAAAAATCAGTTTTTAATATATGAGAAATATCAACTGTTTTAGAGAGGGACAAGGCATTGATGATGATGATGATGATGATGATGATACCATAGCAGATAGCATATTTTCATTACACCAATGCTTTGAACAAGTGTGGTGATGAAAACACAAGTGGTCTGCTAGATAATTTGTGTGCAAGAAGTTGATGAGTGAAGCTGAGGCAATTTTGTCTTATGGAATGATTAGGAAATCGATGAACAAAAGTGTGGTTGCGTCAATTCGGAGAATCTTCAGTCAAACTTCAAAAAGATATTCTTCACATGAGAGAAAACACATGTCCCTCAGCCAGTATATTTAATAGAAATATGGGTAGTACTGATCAGAAAGGAAAATAAATAAACTGGAATTCAGAAGAGTCTTTGCCATCACATACCTAAGAAGATATAAAACAGCTGTCAAATCTGTGGGTCCAACAGCTCTACCGTTGAAAGGGGTTAACACAAGTTTTAGATGACATTCGCTACAATCCAGCTGATCATCTTCTTGGGAAAGTAGAAAATAAAAAGAGAAGGTGTTCAAATGAGGAATGCAAAAGTATCGTTGTGTCAATATGCATGGAATATGACTATGGTTTTTGCTTGAAATGCAACATTCATTTCGTACAAAAAAATTAATACTAATTTTCTACTAATTGACACTATAAAACTTTTTAAAAGAACTAAATATGGAAGTATAATTTGTTGCTACAGATATTGTAGTTATTGTACCGAATAAGTGCATGTGTTTGGTATATAAAAGCTGTCTGGTTGAATATTTTCTCTTTTTCATCCCAGTACATTTATCAACCTCGAAGGACAAGTGTGACGAATATGTCAGACCATTCCATTCCTCACTGATACGTGGAATAATTTTTTAAAACATTTTTGGGCTTTAAACCAAAGTAGTTTGAGAAAAAAGATGTAAAAAAATTAATTTTTTCCTCCTTTTTCTTTTCTTTCATAAAACATAAGGGATTTTACAAATGTAGAGCTCGAACTTTATTCATGTAAATGCTTGTTGTGTAACAAGTTGAAGGAAATAGATTTTACTTGCTCGTGAGTAGATTGTTTCTGTGTCAGTTGGTATATAGTTTGCTGCAATCAATTTATTTTGGTTACCTTTTTGTTTCAGGTTTGACTTATTATTTTAATGTGGTTTGGTTACTTTTAAAAACAATTCTGAATCACATAAATTTTGCTAAATTTGTTTTCTAAATTGTCATTTCAGTTGTGAAGGAGGCATTTCAATGGATGTTATGCTGGCTTCTACGTTCTACTGAAGAAAAATATCAGGCAAATCTCCTGGCTACTAATAATAAGTTTCATGCAAAAAACAGCGTACAAGTGTATCTTGCAAGAACATTATCATTAGTGTACGCACAGGTAAGTTAAAATAATTTTTCATTAGTCATGATATAGTTAACTTTCTTATATAATTATGGTGTGATATGCATTATTATGATGTCTGTGGCTTCTGTGATGTAACGGTTAGTGAATTGGAATATTAAACCCTAGGGTGATCGAGAAATTGAGTTTTTAATGTGAGTGTCCCGTTATTTAGTTTCTGGCCCCATTGTTGTGAAGAAGCGTCTAGTCCAATTTTTTATTAAACTAGTGCTTTTATATTCAATTTGATGCGTTGGTAGGTATTCTGAAAATAGCCATATCGCTTTTCTTTTGCTGGCAATGCCTATTGGTAAAGATGAGCTCTTGATGAAATGTCAAAGAAATTGCATGTACACAAACATAAGGTTTATTTGTAATACTGTTAGACTTGACAGTGTGTGCAGCTGTGAGCAGAGGAGCAAACCACAAGCTTCAAGTTTTGTTGTTGTAAAAACATCAAAAATTGAAGCTTATGATTGGCGTCTTTCTTCACAGCTGTTGAATGTCATATTTGCTTAGATTTTAAATGAACTATATGAGTTGGTAAGCTACTGTGCATGTGGGAGCAATCTTGTGCTCCAGTCTTATAGTAGCCTTTCATGCAAGTGCTTCTCATGTGTTCCGTGTGGCCAGGGATAGATAGAATCAATCATTTTGGAGCGTGCCATGATGGATTTTTGTTAGATAATAAACGTTTGTTATTATATTGTATATTATTTTTCTTGTATTTCTAACAATTAGAGTTGACTCTGGTTATAGTGAACCCTCTGTTATAGTGAACTTTAACTGATTCACTTACATTACTTATAAGCATAAGAAGACTGTTATAGTTATACTAACCTAATTCTCGGCTATAGTGGAGATAGTAAAACCAGTCTTGGAAATTAATTCGCTCCTGGAAAAGAATATATATCATGTCAGTCACATCATACTTCAGTATCAATCTTGGTGCTACTTGATATTCCACAGGTCAAAGTGCATCGAGATCTACATAGGTGACAGGTAGCACGTAACTGCCACAGTCTGGCGATATCAGCCTTAAGGCACAGAAAAGCGATCAGTTTCATGAGCCACTTGTGCCATCCAGCAATAAAAAGCATCTTGTATATTATTAGGCAAGCAAAAGGGCCTTCAAAGATGGAATGTTATTCCAACTGTGCAAGAGACTTTGAAGGGTGTCAAGACTGCATTACGAAACTTAGACTCAGAGGACTATATATGTAGAATCAATTATGGAGAGAATACAATTGTTGAGAAGGATCTAGAGAAATTACTAGTGAAAAAATACGAAGCAAATTATTGAGAAGAAATTGATTTTTCAAGGACAAATAAAGATGTTGAAATTTTCAGTTCCTTCTGTTAATGTGTTTTGCTATATCTCTATATTAATAAAATCAATTGTAATAGAGAAGTTCTGTTTCGTTTTGATATCCTCGGATATAGTGAACCAAAAATGTTTGTTCCCATAAGTTCACTATAACCAGAGTCAACTACATTGATTTCAAAATATGAATTAAGCCTCTATGTCTGCATTTTTTAATTTATAATTGCTTTTCTTCCAGAATAATGTGTTAGTGTATTTTTGGAAGAGATGCAGTGAAAATTCACTTGAATCTAGTTTGAAATCAGTCTTGGAAAAGCTATACTTATTGTATGGTTTGTGGTGTCTGGATCAGAATTTAACTGTACTTTATCAAGGTAAGATTTAGACAATATTTATTTAGAAATTTCTCCTGATGTTTTTGAAGCTATTCATTAATCTCATTTAGAACAGATGAGGTACAGGAACTTCAATTTTTGTGATTTAACAAGAGTACCTATTTTGAGTTCTATTAAAAATTGTTTTCTTAGTTTGCACAATATGTTTTAGGTGGCTATGCATGCGGTCCCGAGTTGTCAAATTTAGTGAAAGATGGTGTCCTTTATTTATGCTCAGCATTGAAGGATGAAGCCATAGGAGTTGTGGATGCACTGGCTCCACCTGATTACATTCTTAATTCAGTTCTTGGAACAGCCGATGGAAAGGTAAACAACAAGTAAAGATTTTTGGGTTTAATATATTTCTTCTTCGTCCATAATTTGAATATATCCCGACTTTACTGGCTGAGACACTAGCTATTTAGCTAGGTCAACTTCAGCCACTGTCTGGAGGAGATTCCTAATTGGTGGCTTCTCTGATCAGTGGTTTTCCTAGAAGTCTAGTTGGCAGGAACTGAAAAATGGGGTTTCCTGGAAGGTCATAAAAACGTTTTCTCCAAATATGTAGTATGTACCCAGTAGTTAAAACTTAAAAAGTTTTTAACCTCCTAGACTCTATGCTAATTGTGGGAGGCCTGCAAAAACATAATTTTTTGAGTTTTTCTTTTCTTAAAGACTTACAACTTTTGAAAGAATTTTTTTTCAAAACCAGTTACCAAGTCTACTACAGCTTTAAAAAAAGGTATTTTTTTCATTTCTCCATAATATGTGCAAATGTTTGCGAAATTTTAATCAACTTATGATAAAAATAATTAATAATGCATGCAGTACTGTTATTTATCTCACCTCTGGCAAAAACATTGTCCTCACAAATGTCGGCATTGTTGAAAATATTAATATTTAAAAAAAGATGATTATGTATGTGTTATCATGTTGCAGCTTAACTCTTCAGCATGGAAAGCCATTTCGACAAAACTTGATATAAATTACTACTGTGGAATTACAATGGGGTAAATAATACTGTAGGGGTAATACATCCGTAGATGTGGTGGGAAGGGAGTGATATTTACAAACAAATCATTACATACTACATGGAATGTGCCACTGAGCTGGCGCAGTGACCGTGAAGGATGCCTGTTAAATAGATGACGTATGGTAACAAATTGGCCATTTTAAGGGAATAAAGGTCTAACTGTTTGTTTATTTATTATTTTTCTAAACATAAACTAATCCGAGCACAGACCCAAACAGAAGCGGACATACTTGTAGATTAGTGGTAATTGCGTATGGGGGCGACTATTCTAACAAATTACTGGGTCTTATCTTTACTTTGGTATTCTCGTTTGTTGAGCTTTTGTGTTAACATTTAGTGATTGTTGGTATATACCGTTTTGGGTAGAACTAGTTTTCCTAATGTTTTGTAGTTGCACTTACGTATCATGTTGCGGTTGTTCATGCTACATTCCATCTATTTATGGAAAATGGTTATTTCATTAGAAATTTGACTAATATATGGAGATTGTTAGTTGAACAAGAGATTTCATATTAAATTCATCCTATTATCTTCTTTTAGGTTTTTTTACCAGGCTGGCATTTCGATCGAATTTCCATGCTTTTATCATTAGACGTTTTTTCTCATTTCTCTTTTTTCCATGCTTAGTTTATGGCATGTCTGTGTTCTTTTTGGTTTCCTGGTATGCTCTTCTGATTTGGTATCACCCAAATTTTTGTGGAGTTATTGATTTCGACCTACTAATGTCCATACATTTTATTGTTTTTAATTTGATGTCTGTTCAAGGTTTTTTGATTCATTTTATTTCTTATTTTATCTACAAGAAGTTACACACTTGCAGACTCATTTCTGTTAATTGAAACGTTTGCTTTTAAATTTTTGTTAGTGTAAGAATTTGCGGCATAGATGTGTGTACTTCCTATAAGGAGCTATAATGGTGCATTTCTTTTTCTCATGAAATAATTGAGTTTCATAGCACTGGATCAACTGGCTTGGACTATTTTTCCTGTTATATTTTTATTTTTCATATCCGATAGTCTTTACCTTCTCTGTTAGTGTGACTGCCCAATACTTATATTGGTGTTTTACCTTTAATTATTCCTATACTAGTCTCTAATATGGGGCATACCTCCACACCATATATTCAGTTTTTTTTGTAAATTTATTTCCATTCCCATTTTCCATACTCTTCTACTAATTTTCTGAACATATAGGTTTACTTCATCATCTTCAGGCCATTATCACCTGGTCATCTGCAAATAGTAGACTAAACAATATTTCATCATCTATTTTCACACCCATGCTTCAGCACTTTTTTCCATTTCTTTTAGGCTTTATCAATGTATATCTTAAACAGGGTTGGAGATATACAGCAGCCTTGCCATAATCCTTTATTTACTGGGAAGTGTCTGGATAGGCATTTTTCCCACTTTTACTTGACTTTTGTTATCTTTATAAAGTTGTTTGACGGCATTTATGTATGTTGTTGATATTCCTTTTTCTTCCAGTGTCCCCGCCCCCCCCCCTTTCTTTTTTTACTTGGTACATTATTCAAAGCCTTTTTGAAGATTAATGAAAATTATGTGAAGTTCTCTTCCTCGCTCAATTGTTTTTTCCATCAGTTGTTTGAAACAAAAAATATTGTCAATACACGATCTTCCTGGTCTAAAACCACTTTGCACTGCTGAGTTTAATGTTTGCATTTCATTTCTATTCTTTAGCACACGACCATACAGTCTAACCAAAGATAAAGTCACACTTATCCCTCTATAATTATTAGTCTTTTTTACAACCTTTTTGTAAATTGAATTTATATAATTATATTTTTATATTAATTTCCATATTTCAGGTATTTTACCTCTTTTTAAAAATCCATTGAATATTTCAGTAATTAATTCCAAACCTACAATAGGATACTGTTTAACCAGCTCTATGAATATACCTGCAGGCCCAGGTGCTTTAGTATTTTTCATTTTTCTTAACACTTTTTTTAACTCTTCAAAGACTCAAAGTCACATCTGGTGTGATGGAATTTACGTGCAGTGGTTCATAATTTATTTTCTGAAATTTAGCTCTATTTTCTGTCAAAAGATTTTCATAGTATTTTTGCCATTTTTCAAAACCAATTGGGTCTACTAAATGCCATTCTTGGTATTCAATTTCATGGAATGTAGCATTTTCCATGCCTCTCTGGATTTGGTGTTACCAATGCACTTGTCTAATCTGTCACATTTTTGTTCCCAGAATACATTTTTGGCCTTCTTCACTTCTTTCTTGACCAAATATTTCATTCTGTTATATTTCAAAATCAACAATAACTAAAATTGCCTTTCAACAGTTACTATAAAGATTGTAGCAATTCGCTGTTAAGAGTTATTGTCAGAAAAGTCACAATGTAACTTCGTACTTACAGAATAACAAACAAAAATAAAAAAATGTAATTGATGTTGGAAACAAATTTCAGTAAAAGTTTATTCAATATTATAGAAATATGTTCTTTGAACAATCCACACTTCTTAAAAACAACATTTGAAGTAATTATTCAATCTTTCTTGACAGCTTTTCACTTTCCTTGATAGACATAAAAATATTATAAAAGTATTTTACTCCTGAGAAAGTCAAGTAAAGTTTTCCATGCAAAAATACAGGATCTGTCAAATACAACCCTAACTCTCTGCAATATTAACTTAACTGGATTTCTTATGAGGAACAGACAGAGTTTTGGATGGGCAGTTTGCCATCTTGCTGGGGTGCGAAAATTGAAAAATTATTTGTATATTAAAAAGTATTGGATTATTTTCTGCATTCTTATGTACCGCAAGAAAAGTAATTCTGAGTAAAAAAATAATAAAACTAATATTTTCAAGTTTGTGTAATAAATACAATTTGTAACCATTGGAAACAATTCAGAAGGCTTAGATGTCACGTGGGTACGTTTGAATGTTGCTCAAATGATGTATATGATATCTTAGCGAACCAACATCTTAAGTGTATTATCAAATGGTGTATTATTTACAATGTGAGTTTACAGCTGAGCTTTAATCTACAGACTTCCACATATAGCGAACATTTAAATAGTGTGTCTGGATTGTGATTTTTGGCAGTTGTCGAGTGACTTGTGCTATTCATTCTATAATTTGAAATTTGGTGGCTTTTTTAAATTCATTCACGTTGGATTGTAGGCTAGCACATTTTAATTTTTTGGTCATTTATTTCAAGCTATTTTACTTTAATTAATTTTCCAAGTTTGTCCTTTATGTTGTGCCAGAGCATAATTTTTCCCCTACTACCTCTGTATACCATGCAAGAACCAAGAGGGAAAGTTGTTAACAAGACATATTTATTTGTTTTAAAATGTATAAAGTACTAACCAACGTACTAACACAATAACAAAATTAAAATCAATGATATTGATGTTGAAAAGAAATTTTCAATGAAGATTTATTCAGTACTATCAAAAGATTTCTTGGAACAATTTACAACACTTTCTTAAAATTATATGAAGTAATCATTTAATATTTTTTGACAGTATTTCGCTTTTCATGATAGTCACAAAATACTTAAAAACAACTTTTTACTCTCAAGAAAGCTATGTGACAGAACATGCTAACTTGAAAGTTTCACCGAATCACTGCTGATAACAAAAATATTGGAATAAGTAAAACACAAACCAAACCTAACAAGATACGTCTTCACTCTTCTCTGTACACCCACAACCCTCCACAATTAGGTACACAGCACATGTAGACCTCCACAAAACGTTAAATGAATGTTTTCACTACACGCCTAAGAAACAATTTTTATCGGAATCAAACAACTCTTAATAGTACTTCTAGTGTTTGCTGTGAGAGCGAATCTTGAATTAATAATCATGCCAATAAACCTCATCAGTGTACGCAAACCACGGTGTACACAGAAAGTGTAAATAGTATAAGATAGAGAACTCTGAACTTTCTAACAAAGACAGTCACCATCACCATGATGGCATTTGCCCTATCAATAAGTGCCAAACTAGCAAAAATGAATAGAATGTCCTAGAATATCTCAGTCTGTAGATTATGGGGTGAGGAACATCTCTCCCGCTCTCCGTCTGTCTCTCACCATGTTCCTCTGTGTCCATATCTGTCCCTGCCCCTCTCTAAGTCTTTGTCTCTTGACTATATATCTCTCTCTCTGTACCTACCTCTTTCTGACTGCCTGCCTGCCTCTTGTCTCTTTCTGTCTGACAGGCTGTGTATACCTCTGTGTCTTTCTGTCTCTCCCTCCCTCCCCGTCTCTCTCCCTCGCCCTCTCCCGTCTTTCTCCCTCATCTCCCTCCCCCTTGCTCCCTTGCTTGCTTTAACCTATGCAAATTAACTCTAAATTTTCAAGTAGTCGAATACCCTCAAAATAGCAACATAAAATTTAAATATGTGCTTTCAAATTATGGGAACACATATGAGATAGTTCCCATCGAAGGAATAAAATATGTCATAGGGCTAGTAACAGAACTAATGAACTAATAACCAATATGAGTGCCTTGCATCAATTTACAAAACAAGGGTCAATGAGGTTCACAACAGTTTCTAAATAATTACGTTAAATAGAAACTTGGTCAAATTTCTGAAAATTCTCATGTAAATAATTAAAGGTTGAGAAGTATTGTCACTTATGAGTAATTTCTTCTGAACAATTTTACCAAATGTCCAAAAATGAAAATAGAAAGAATATTCTTATATTCACAGAAACCTGCTTTTATTACAGTTGTTTTTGATGACCCCTCTGATGGTGATCTGATGTAGTTAACTACAACAGATTATACATTGTACATTGTGGTGGGAAAAGGTGTGTGTGTGTGGTGTGTGTGGTTTTGTTATTTTTGTTGTCAAATGCAGAATTATAGTCCACATTTTGATTTATACGTTACTTGAATTTCGGAGTTCTTGGGTTACAAAACTGAGCTTATCTTTTTTTTGAAGTAGTTACTTTTCCAGCTAATTTGGGGGTGAGTCTATGTATAAAATTTTGGAAAAAATTGAGATGTTTCTTCAAGAGATAAGGGGGGAAACCTTCAGGTGAAACAGACAAATGTACATTTAATTTAATAGTTGGCCACTGTCAGGAGTAAACTTTTTCTTAGTGTTGTTTAAAAGATCTGTTGAATAATGTTGCAGCCTTACTTTCTCATGTACTATGAGTTTCATATCTGAAGTTCGATTTTGTATGTATAAACTTCTGGTTGCATAATAGAACTTTAAAGAGTTAGATTGGGAGGCTTAACAGACGTTAACATTGTTCCAAAGGATTTCTTTCGTAAAGAGTCCAAATTTAAAGTTGTATTATTTGTCTATAATCTTATATCAGCTTTTACCTAAGCAATGTTTTAAGGAATTTAAATTTACTTCATACTTAAATTGTATTACTACAATTTCTGTTCATAGGTATATGATAATTTACAAGCAGCATTTTTTCACAATCCTAGAGGAATGGAAAGACCTTCCTGGTGGAATGAAATTGTGCCAAAGATCTCTTCCAAACTGTAAGGCAATAATTTTGGGTCTGGCACCCAAAATACTAACTATAAAGTATTCTTATTTAAGTACTTTTACAGAAAAATAGTTTAAGTATTTATTAAATACTTTCTTGTTTACAATATCATTTTGTCTTGGATACCATTCACTTGTACTATTTTTGTAACTTAACAAATGATTTGAAGATAGTAAATGGCTAGTCTCTAAGACAAAGTGAGTGAATGTTAAATGTATTAAATGTTACTATTTTCTAACTGTGAAGTAATTATATTCATTGTATGTATTGAGGTTCAGGGACCATTTGTTGCTGGTCGCAACAAAGATTGACAGAAAGTGCTATTCCTTCCAAGTGAGAGTGAGAGAGAAAGAATACATGCACCTTAATATCATTTTAGAAATTAAATTATTCCACAGTTGAAGGAATAAATAATGAGATTAATTGTAGAAAAGACTGTTTGAGAAGTACCTTGTGCACATTCCTGAAATTTGTTATTTGGTATTTAGTACTTGTAAAAATATTTTCAAATAACATTTGAAAAATAAACTTATTGTACATGAAGGAGAAATGCAATTGAATCTTTATGAATTACCAGAAAGGTAAATATTTGTATAAAGAAATGTATGACTGAAGTGTGTACATCAATTTTCGTTAAAGAATTAACAAGTGGTTATGTCAAAAATAGACAATGTGTAATAAGAATACCTTAGAAATTATTAAACCACAAAAATTATAAAATGAATTGGAACTTTCAAGAGTTACAATTGCTTAAACATATTTAAATAATTTAATGCTTCATTTAGAATCAACTTTCTAAGTACATGAAAAGGTACCTTTTTCATAAATGGTCTTTCACTTTATTGAATAGGAAGTAAGAATGTTCCAAGGACATGATAATGTATGTTAAAGTTGCCTAGAAATACCATAGCTTTTTGTTTCCTTGGATTGAAATCGGTTAATGTTTTTTTTTAATTTGATTTTTCCTTTAAAATAAAGATATTCTGTGACTCAAATTTCTAAAAATGCTTCTCTCAAAAAGAGCTCACATACGTTTTATGTTTTCATTCACCGAGAAGCACATTTCCATTGCATTTAGGCGAGTACAAATAATCATATTCCCCATGTATATTGCCATTAAGACTAAAATCACCAGTCGATTATTTTCTAATAACCAATTTCACAATGAGCAAAAAAAAAACACACAGTATCAGTTGCTTAAACCTACAAGTTAAAATTACAGTACAATACAGTCCAATATCAAAGAGCTGAAATAATAGTTCAGTTTAGCTCAATGAACACACCCAATTATTACACTACCCCCTTATAGTGAAACAATTGATTAAAATTTTTCAGAAGAAAATTTTCTTTCGGTACTGGTGAATTGGAATTCATTAACTAAAAGTTGTCTTAGATCCTTAATTTTTAGAATGGTGGTGCTTGTTTAAGATTTTTCACAAATATATTTTGTGTGAACTGTGGCTCTGAATTTTTAGATTGCAGTATTTTGGTGATATTGTAAGATGATAAATTTTACAGTAACAAATACCAGTTTTGGGAATGGAAAGGACATTTTACTAGAATTATTATTTTAATTTCATGCAGATCTTGCAATATGACTGGTTTGTAAGGTTTCACTTCTTATATATTCTGTAGGTGCTAAAATAATTTTGCTATAAGAATATTGTAGACAAAAATTGTTTAGCACAAATTCAGCAGAGCCATAGACTATCTCAATGTATTCCGACAGTGCAGTATTTTGTAAGAAATAAAAATTTTAAGAGTGTAAATGTGTAAAGGGTGACTTTGTTAATCCCAAATTAAATGTCACTTTTCCTTTGAATTGTTCAATGTTTTTATTATACTCCTTCAAATTCAAATATTGTTATGACATACCCTAATATAATGCGATTCAGGGGACCTTGTATTGTTGCATTATTATTATTATTATTATTATTATTATTATTATTATCATCATCGAAACTATGATTTACTGATAAGAGCAGCAGGGAGCAAATTAAACTCTAAATGCTTTCTGGCAATTATGAGAATTTATTAAAATCCGTAGTTAAGTAATTATATTATGTAAAGCTTGAGGATTGTACCTAATTCTAATCTTTACTGAACTTACACCAAATTTCAATGCAACAAGTACATATAAGTGTATTTTATAACAAGTTATGTGCAAAATGTTTGCACTAATTTAAAAAGTGTGTTTGGTTTTTCATAAATGTGATTTTTTAATGTTAACAAATTGGTTAACAGTATAATTTTTACATGTTTGTGAAATAAAAATAAACATTTGTTGAAAAATATTAAGTAAGTCCTGAGGAGGCCCTAACACATGCTGTTTGCTTCTGTATTAATCCACCTCTGGCCACATGTGGCCAGGTAGCACAAGATTGAGGGCTGGATGATATATAGTGAATTGTAAGTAAAATATTCAAGTCAATTGAAGCAAATTATAAAATATCAATTAAACAACAATATTGACATTCTATGGTGCATGTTCTCCTGCTCATTTATCTTTTAAGATGAAGAAACACTTGACTTGGACTTTTCAAACTATGGATCTTGATGTGAATTAGTATTTTTTTTTAAATTTGATTTGTGGGAAAATGCATATTTTCTTGTTACTTGTATAATTTTTATAAAGTATAGATCATATGGCAATCTTTTACATGCCAACGGAAATGTGAATAAAAAGTTAATGAAACCTGTTTATATACTGAAAATGATTTAAATCAAGTTGTGTATTGTTGCTTTCAGACAGAACTTTTAAAGAAGTCTGTACAAGTCCCTATTTCTATATAATTATTTCATGTAATTCATGAAATAATGATATAAGAAGTATTCAATTTGTAAGCTGAATTTAAAATAAGTTGTGGATATACTTTTCTTGAAGGTGAAAATCAAAGGATTCTTCATTTTGTTTTGTTTTTTAATTGTTGTTTGAAGGCAAATGATTGTAATAATGTAAATTTGAATAGCTTGTAGGTATGGACCAAGCTTAACAAATGAAGTACAATGAGAAAAAAAGGTGGTGTCTAGTATTTGGATTAATGTAAAATATGGATGATTCATGTTGAAAATGTAATTCATTTATTATTCTTTAAGAATCCTTGCAAATGCACATATACACTATTTAAAAAGTGAACTCTTATCTATAAAATTTAATGAAAAGTTATCTAAGACAGTTTTTATTGCACTATTGTTTATGAAATTCTATATAAATGTTATTTTTAAAATATATAAAACAACTGTCATCAGAAAGAAAAATAAGTATTAACTTGAAACAAAGCTTTCACAAATATGCAGTATTTCATTTCACGTACATAATAACCACTGTTAATTCATGCCTGTAGTCACTCTGTTACCACACTTTGACTTTCAATGTTAATTTTATTATCTGTGGGGAAGATGGTGCCCAGTTGCCCTCATTCTGCATGACTTGAAATGTATTACTAAACTTATACCTGCATTACAAATTTGGGCATTTGTGCATTTTAAAAACATGCTAGGATAGTGATGTGTATATTTTTAAAGATGATGAATTATCTATTGTCTTGAAATCCAAGCATGGAAATTCACAATTATTCCATTTCTTATGTTTAATGTGGTATTTTATAGTATTTTATCTTAAACTTGAACAGATTCCTCAAGTAAGCATTTAATTTGAAAAGTGGTGTTCAAATTTTAAATATTGGTATTATGAAGTGCTATGCTTGAATTTTCTGGAAAAGTTGTTTGTTTGTTGTTTTTTGGTTGTTTTTTTCCACTCAATTCAAAGTCCACATAGTATCTTTTGAATTATAAGTAAGAAGCTATATTATTTTCTGTCTGCACTTTTATTCCTAGTATTGTGTATGAGAGTGAAAATGAAAGGGCTCATCAGTTTTTGGTTGCAGTTCTTTCAAAATGCTCAAGAGATGGGAAAAGATTGAAGAGATGTCTTGAATCTCTTTGTTGCAATATTGCATTTATTCATTCTTATTATAATTAGTTTTGAATTAATTCCATGGATCTTATCCTCTAGTATCTCTAATTTCAGTATCTTTCAATTTTAGCAGTATTCATAGCACAGCCGTTTTGTTAAGATTAGCAAATATATATAAGAGAGCATTTAATTTCATGATAGTGCTATCTAAATCAATTATTTATCCAGTATTCCAATTGTTCTTTGTGCTGCAAAACACAGTTTGTATTCTGTATATTTTATGCATTGTTAAATGTACTTGTCCAATTTTCTTGTAAGCATATTTATAAAATAAAGTGGTCAAGTTTTCAAACATTCCTGTCTGTATATATGTACAATTACTTAATTCAGTGACTTATGTACTTCTCTTCCATGTGTTTAATGTGGTTTAAGAATAGATGTAATGAAACACCATAAATTGAAAATTCTATGTCATTTGTGCATTAGTAAGAGTGCCTTGTGGTGTAACATATAACAATGGACTCTCATTATTTTGAAATTATATTGTAAAATTTATGTAAGGTGCATTACAAAATATATGTTTACAATACTTGCTTCTGTTAACATTATTAGTTCACCCTTTCAAGTTGACAAATCAAAAAGAAAAGATATTGTATATTTTGTTATGTCGCCAAACTACCAAGTAGCAAAAATTCAATTTATTTACAAAAATATTGTGAGAATATTAATTTTTCTCAATTCTTCCTTTAAAAAATATTACTTTCTGAATGGCTTCTGTGGTGTCGTTAGTATTTTCTCGAATAACTCCACATTTGTTCTTGAATTTTTTTCTTTAATACAGCAGAACATAAGCCTAGCACTTACACCATTAAATCTGAATATTCAACGTGATCATACAATGTATGAAGGTTTTGCAAACTAATGGTTTTTATGTGCAGTCAAAATTGACATGCTTTGTTGCAAATTCAATTGCAAAACGCAAATAAGCAAAATCCTCTGCCAAATTATTACAAATGAGAAAATTTAAAGAAAAGCATTGGAGTGTTTTACTGTAAATTAATACTAGATAGGAGCTTCACACTTCAAGGGTGTGATTAAAGATGAGTAATCCAAACTTTTGGTAAATTTGTAAGCAAGTGAATAAACACAATGCTATTAATTACACTAAAAAATTTCTTCCTATGAATGTCAATTTACATTATTTGACCCATTAACTAGAAATGATGCAACTTTTAATTTATTTAATTTTTTGACATTTCTTGTGCGGTAGTAAGCAAACCTAATAAAACAAACATATTGTTAATAATGTCAGATCTTGAAAGCAAAAATTGCTCCAATTTTGTAGTTTTCAAGTGTTCAATTTTTAGGAAAACGGAGCAATAGTCGAAAATGGGACTGACCCCATCCTTTTTACCGTCCCTTATTACATATGTAACGAAAATTTCAAGAAAAATTTTGAGCGGTTTTTGATTTCAAAAATGTCTATTTTCGCGCAAAATGATACGGAAACTACTCATATTTTGGGAAAATTGATCATGGACTTATTTAAAGATCCGTCTTTAAGGTACACATTTAATTAACCCTCAAGCGGCAGCGCTGGTGCAAGATCGCTATCATTGAAATATTTTCCCGGGTATGTTTGGCAATAGCCCTTCCAGGAAGTCGTGGCCTGTAGTATTCCTCGTGTGATATTCCAGGAAGAAGATAAAATCGTTTCTATCACTGCTACCCTTATCAGTTACCAGCGGTCTGCACGATTGTGAAGTGGAGCAGATTGGCATCGCGCTGCCGGTCCTGTAAGTAGTGTCTTTTCTTGCTGCGGATTTCACTCTCAAATCACTATAAGATACGTACATTAGTTGTATCTGTATTTACATTCTGAAATGAGTCTTGGAGGACATGGAAATTCTTGGAACCTCAGAAAATAGAAGAAATATTAGATGATTTCCTGTCAAATGAATCTTTCTCAGAGAGCGAGGTGGATGAACACGTGAATAATGATATAGATCACGATTCAACTTACGAGATTGACGGAGAAAATATTTCTAATTGGTGTATGATCTTGAGGGGGAAGGAAATAAATGTAGGAAGATGCCCCCCCCCCCCCTTGCATTTTTTCAATTGTCA